CACACACACACACACACTGAATCATCAAAGGGAATGCAGACAGGTACAGTATATTCACAAAATGTGTCACCCCATTGTCACATGCTGTCTCATAACGGCTCACCAGTATTCAGATTAAATAGGAGGACTTTAAAATACGCCCTAATAATGATGAGCAGATTATTGCATCACACATCAACACCTTGTGGAGAAAACATATTACTGGTCTCTCCATGCAGATGCTCACCAGATGCAGGGATTTCCATTTGAGTTAAACACTACTTAGATTATTTTACACTATCTCTTTCATCTGTTAGCTAACAGAACCTTTATTGCCTTTCAGTACACTCCATCATGGAGGAATGGTTCAGAACAGATGTCATTAATAATCCCCAACATAATGAAATGCCACTGATCCCTCAGTCATGATACAGTCAACAAACATTGCAACACTCACCCTGGAGGGGAGCAGGAAAATGTGGCTGCTTGAGTCGTAAACAATGGGAAAAAATCATATTGCAATGTTGGGAATTATTGCCAGACTGAATTAACTGATAAGATCAAGGAAGGAGTGGAAAAACAAATTGAAAGTGTCTTATCTCTTGATGTGGGGTAAATCTCAAAAAATTGTTTGTGCACCATGTTGTAATTTCTTATTTTTGTTCACCTTAGTCGGGGAAATGTTTTTAAATGACATGAAGCGGTTTGATTTCATGGGTTTGAAAGATAATGGAACTTTTTAGAGTTAGAGATTAGAATTTTTTTAGAAAATGCAGTATTAACACTCTCTCTCTGTATCTCTCTCTATACATCACATAAATATTTGCAAAAGGCATTTGACATACTTATAATCAATACAAGGTAACAAAGCCTATATACAGCACAAATTACAGTCCTAAATGTCAACTATAATTACACATTCATTGTCTTAAAGACAGATTAATCTACAGCTTAAAAATCCTTGACCTGAAATCATACACCAAAACTTTCTTATCCGTCAATAATAGAACCAGTAATACTATATTACCCCTGGAGGATATTATAATTATTTGCTGAATGATGATTCAGAAATTATTGTAAGCATCATCACACATTTCTAATTCAGCTCTGCACCATATTGGCGTTTGAATATGCAAATCCATGTCTGGGTCTGATCTTCTGCACAAGACAGTTTAAAGTCAGTCTTGTCCCATCCCTACTTTCAGCTTCAGAGGAAATAGAAGATTAAAAAAAAAAGGCGAGTGTGTCAGTGGAGCAGAGAGAGAGAAAAGAAGACAGAAAGGAAAAATAGAGTGAGTCAGATCCAAGGAATTAAATAAAGAGAAAGAATGATAAAGGCAGAGAAAGAGAGAGAGAGAGGGAGGCAGAGTTAGACTGGGAGAGGAGAGGAGAAGATAGATGGTGAGCAATACACAGCCCAAGCGAGAGATAATGAATAGAGAGAAAACGCCAGAAATAGAAAAAGAGTAAGAAGTAGAGAAAATGGAGAGAAAAGTGAGAGTAAGAGAGGGGTGCTGCAGAGAGGCAGCCACAGGCCTGCTGTGCGGTGCATGGCGGAGGCTCATCATTCAGCTAATTATGATCAGGCTTTTCCCTGCAGGCACAGCAGCGCTGGAAATGGAAAGTCTTTGTTCTCACACACCCCAATGGAAGCGATGGGGCATGGCGCCATGCAGATGAGATGTGTGTACACACAAGTACACTCATATACAGACACCCACACACAAACACAAGCAAGTGTGTGGCCTCATTAACACTACATGCACGCACTGTGCTTACTGCCATACGTAAATTTTTTGTATACAGAGCTCAGAACACACACACACACACACACACACACACACACACACACAATCACCATTCACACCACACTTTCACTTAATGCACGTTGCCGTTTATATATTCCCCCTCACACAAACACACACTATACCTCTCACTCACATGCAGAGCCACAGACACACACACATGCAGGCACACACACAAGCAAAGAAAATCCTACACAAACATTATCAGTTTCAGCTTTTCACCCAGAATGCATCGGAACATTATGATGATACTATCAATTAAGTTTGTACCTAGTGAGCCAAGTTATCCATCTCTATTATAGAACACAGACCTCTTTTAGAAGAGAGCAGTCTGTGGTATTCAATTAGAAAAGTGAGGAAAACAAGAGATTTATACCTGACAAGGACTAAAGAGATTCCAAAATTATTTTAGCTTGAGCAATTAGGACAAATGCACAAACACAACATTCCTAAGCAGACTTGTGGGGTCAAATATAAAAACCAAATTATCCATAATGGCAACAACTACCTGTCAGGACCATGCTGTGAAGTTCATGGCCACTGAGCAGCACTTATTAATTGAAATTTATGGGTATTTCAAACACTTAATTACAAAAAAGGACAAATAATTGCTTTATTAATAAATAAAGCAAAATAGAGAGCCTGCCAAGAAACTGGCACTGGACTGAATGCATAAGTACCCTCCTTAATTAAAATATTTTCCGATGCTTTGAGAGCAAAATAGCAATTTCTGAGAACAGATATTGGTATGCTATTAAAAAAGACCTATATATGATATCTAAATGTAAAACATCATGATATCAGGATGTTAATTTGTACATTTGCATACATCTTTATATTAATACTTATTAAGTGGCATACAAGAAAATTAACTTCATAATTGTGATTTTTATACAGAAAGTGCATTTTATACAACAAATTGCAGAAATGATCATAGAAGATTATATAGTGTCAACAGGCTACAACATCACTGCCATGTAATCAATTATAACAGACCAATTTCAACTGTTGCTATTTCAGCAAGATGACAGAGAAAGGAATAGCTACATTCAAAAATTGGTCAAGGTTGGCTTGGATCTCTTGGCTTGAAATAGTTGATTTGATAGTTTCCTCATGCCTACTGTAGTAGGCTACCTGCTGAATGCTGCTCAAATCTCTGCTTATTGTGTGCTTAGTTGCCCATGGTGAGGAAAACTGTTCAAGGACCCTCTCAGACTGACACCTGTGGTTTCAGTCTGAGAGGGTGAGTGAGTGTTGACTGTTGCATAAAACACAAAGCTCAGAAAATAATTTAACTTCTTCTGTTAACACAGGGTGTAGAAACTTTAAAGTCAGTGTACAGACGAAAACAAGGAAATTCAGTCAGCGGAGAGGCAGCAAGTGATGCCACATACAGATGTTTATTTGTTAATATAGTAGATTTTTTTTTTTCTTTTCTGTTTTTTCTCTTGTACATAGTGTTTATATTATATTATATTATTACCTTACTGTTTTTTCTCTATCCACTTTGTTGCTGTAACATTGGAATTTCCCCACTGTGGGACAAATAAAGGAATATCTTATCTTATCTCTGATCTTATCTTCCATAGAGGGGTTCTTTCATTGGTATTTCTAAAAAGAAATTAGATTAGTTATGACCATAGAGGCTAAACACTATAAAACCTCACCTACTTTGCAGATGTCAGATAGCCAGACAACAATAGCCCTATGACAAATAAAACAAAAGCAAATGGGACTTTCTTATCATCTTATCTTTCTTATCACAAACACCTACACACACACACACACACTGAACACTGACGAAACCAAATTAACATTTCGGTCTTATGTTGACACAGATGACACAACACCAGCAGTGCCATTTACTATGAATCCTATTTTAAAATTAACCATAAATACCAAAAACACAGACAGAAAGAGTGTGATAACCCTCTTTGGCTGGTCCAGTGACGTAACGCACAGCCTTGTGTAAGAGACCGAGCAGTGAAATTGTACAGCTGACGGGACACTTCGCAGAACTGCCTACATACCAGAAGTATTGCAGCATAAATGTAGGTACAAAAAAAGTCTTACAACATTTACCCTTTAAAGGAAGCTGCCAGTGACAAGCTGGTGAGTTTGCTGTATATTTCTAGTGCTTTATGGGAGTGCAGTGATCTGTCTCCACTAAAGCACAACCTGGTCCACAGATACCTCAGTGGCACTATGTCTCTGGTACCCACTGCAGCCAATGACCCCATATTCATGTTGCATCACAGCTTCATTGACCAGTAGATCATGTCATTTTATTTGTTATAGAATTCCCATTAAAAGGGTGTAGAAGTCTATTTGAAAACATGCCCATATGCACATTGAACGTGCTATTGGCTGCTGTAATTGTGTCTCCTGTCCTGTGGGTATCTTCCAAAGGTGAAATTCCCTCTTTGTGCTTCCTCAGAGAGTCTTTCCCTGCTACTCTGTACATACAGAGAGTGTCAGCTTACATCCAAACTCCCGAATAAACAAATAAAGTTAAAGAGAATAAATATGCAAGATAAAAGGTACAAGTTTATTATAAAAACAGAGAAAGTACATTGCATACATTAATTGTATCTCCCTGCTTATATGCAGCTCTTTTCCATGGGAAACATCAAGATAACACTGCCTTTTCACGATAAATAAATAAAAATCAGAAAACACTTCTTCAGATGCCTTCCTGGTGGCTGAAAACTAAAGATGATTAGATAAGGCTGCGGGGGCGGAGGTGTTGAATCTAAATTCCATGGTAGAGGAGATCATATTTGGGAATATTTTGAGGATCTATGGGACTCTGGACAATCATCTTCCCACGCATGGCTCCTCTGTATATGACCTCAATCAGATCCATGAAATCTTGCTTGGTCTTGAAGCTGCCGACAAACTTGGTGTGATCTGGGGAGCTGAAAGAGAAAGAAGTGAAGCAATTATCAACCAAATAAGCTCAATCTTATTGTTTGTTGTTGCAACATGTACATTGGTGGAAAGTTAAAATGTGTTCGTGTTGCATCCTGCCTGTTCTATGACAAGAGTGGGGGCTGTAAGTAGAGCTGAAACATTACTTTAAAAGGAAATATACAAACCTGGCTGCTTTTCCACATAGCTTTGGGGTAAAGACTGTTGGTCAGACAAAGCAAACAATTCAAAGATCTATTTGGGTTCTAGGAAATGTGTCTTATTTATTTTATAACGCAAGACCAGTGTATTAGCAAAGCGAGAAAATACTAAGCAGATTCACTATTTTGAATCATTTGAACATGGAGAACTGTACATAATACCCATCAGTAAAAAATAACATGGGGGGAACTTCACTCACCCATAATCCACTTTCATGTGCTGTCCATTGAAAAAGAAAACTGTGGAGGGGATGTAACTGATGTCAAAGTATCTGGTGTAGATGGGAGCTTTATCCACATCAACGATGTAGATGGAGGCCATGTTACTCAAGTCATGGGCAGTTTTCGACAGCTAGAAAGGGCAGAAAAGAGCAATCAGCCAAACGCTTCATAGTCGTGACACAAACGCTGAGCAGCATTGTTTTAGTATTAGCTTTAACTGTCTCACAATCTCATCCAGCTGGAGACAAACCGAGTCTTCGTCTCTCCCAAACCGCAAAACTACGACTTTTTCTGCGACGCCTTTGATAACTTCGTCGATGTCTTTTTTGCACGTTAATTTCGGCAAAAACAAACTCATTTTCGAGGCTAACAAATTAGCTTCCCTCTGTTTTGCTGGCAGGAGGAAGTGACGTCTTTGTTGCTGTGCGACGCTGTGAAAAACTCCGGCTGGAAACTACGACTACGAAAAAAAAAAAAAAAAACTAGTCAACTATTACAATGTGCATCGACCTATGGTATCGACACGTCGTGGCGCAGAAGTACAATTTTGTGAGTTGAAACGTTTTGATGCGGTCAGCTAGATAGACACTGGGGACCAGATAAGCTGTGTGATACCATGTTGTGAGGTTCCACTACGACACATTATAGTGAAACAACAACGTGAAACAACGTGACCTTCCCCCCCGGTGTTTGACAAGCATGGACGCCGCAGACAAATGAACACAACTTGAAAACAATGCAGCGATAAGTAAATATCATTTTGGACATTCAACAAGATGCAGATGTTTCTTGTTACATATTAAAAGCGTTTCATGAGAGTGGGAGACGGAACGAATTGACAATACCCCTTTTTCCTCTGTTTTCGTTTTTCAAGACAACGTGACAGTCCTGCGTTTCTGGTTTTAGTACTTCTCACACAGCTTCAGTTTGAAGTAGTTCATCGCGATGCTACGCCTCTTCACTGGCAAGGGTTTTTATGAACTTCGGAAATGCAGTTATCCTGTGTTATCTTGTGTCACCAAGAGGAAGGCCTCAAGCTTTCTCCCAGTCAGCAGCACTTGTCCTCACAGACTACACGTCCCTGCTCGCCTCTTCAGTACCGGGAGACCAGTGTGGAAAGATGCCTCCCAGCCACAGAAAGACGAATCAGAGGACATACAGACAATGGATCTGAACAAATGGAAATCCGTAATGAGATCCCAAGCAGCAGCTGCAGAACAGAAAGAAGTCAAAGAAGAAGAAGGAGAAGAAAGTGATGAGGAAAACTGCAAAGAACCAGGAAGGGATTTAAAAGACGGTTCTCATTTGGCTGCAACTCGGGAAATGGTTGTGATGTGGCGCCAAGCTGGGAAGCTTGTACCTCAAGAGATTACTGATGAAGAGGTTCAGACACTGGCAGAGCTCGCCACCAAGACCTCCAAGAAGAATTACCTGAAGCACCTGGCCATCAAGGAGCACCGCAAAGGTGCAACTAAGGAGAAGCGGCAAAAGAAGTGGGAGGAAAAGAAAGCCTCGTTGGAGGCGAGTACAGGAACGCACAGCGATGCAGAGGAAGGGGATGATCAGAGAGGACCAGTGATGAAAAACACATTCCTCCTCAGGTACTGGCATCGCTCCCTGGACAAGCTGCTGGCCTGGAGAACCGCCCAGTCAATGCTGTTCGGTCAGCCGCTGGTGTTTGACATGAGCTATGAGTCCAACATGGGCAGGCGGGAGATCGAGAACACAGTGCACCAGCTGATGGAGGCAGAAGGATGGAACCGGCGTGCCACTGAGCCCTTCCACCTCCACTTCTGCAACCTGCAGCCAGACATGGCTTACGAGAAGGAGCTGCTCAAGCGATACGGTGCAGAGACCTGGGCCCGCCTGTGCGTCACCGCCACTGATCGCCAGCACGTCGACCTTTTCCCCCGCGAACAGCTTGTGTACCTCACCGCAGATTCCCCCAATGTTCTCCGCAAATTTGACCACTCCAAAGTCTACATCATCGGGAGTATGGTGGACCGGTCGATTCAAAAAGGCTTGTCGTTGGCCAACGCCAAGCGTCTGAAGCTGGCCACAGCCCGTTTGCCACTGGATCAGTTCCTCCGCTGGGAGATCGGAGCCAAAAATCTGACTCTGGACCAGATGATCCGCATAATGCTCACTATCAAGGAGACTGGGAAATGGGAAGAGGCGTTAAAGTTTGTGCCTATGAGAAAGCATGCTGGCTTCCACCAACAACGGGCACAAGAAGAGATTAGCAAACCCAGGGAGGTCACACACCGTAGACCAAGAGCGGATGATAGCAGGTGGTTGATATCATCTGGTGAATGTACATTTAAAAATGAGGCCCAAAGTCTGTACAGGTCCCCAAAACAGCCTGGGTTCACCAGTAGAGACAGAACAGGTGGACTGCCCAGTGACAGAGAAAACAAACCCACTACAACCAGAGTATCATTTAAGAACAAAATGGAGGGAAGAAAAGGCACACACAAAAGTTGGACAAGGGGGGATGATAAGTGAAGTCAACATAAATTGTAACTGGTTAATAAGTTTGTTTATAAGAACTGTTTGAGGAAATGTCAAAAGGTGAGACAAGTGGTGAATAAAATGTTAATATGTAGTCACTGGTGCTTACTTTTTGAGTTCCAATGCAGGGTTATACACGAGACAAGAACAAGACATTTTAAAAAGATAGAAACGAATTTGGTCTTTATTTTGGTCTGACATAGAAAACAAAAGATGTATAAATATTTTAAATGTGTCCCGTCTGCTGGTCACTGTAAAGTATACAGTCACCAACCCTGCAAAAAGCAAACTATCCATACAGATGAAATCAACCAAAATATACAGCTTGATTTTAGAAAATTGTAAAAAGGCATGCACAATATATTACTAGTAATTTCAACAGTCTTAAATCTTTTTTTAAATTAAACAAAAAAGCCAAATAAATGACATAATTCGATGAAAAAAATCAAACATAACTTAAATTCAAATGTCAAACATTGCAAATAATGGGACCTGTGTGTGTGAGCAACAGGTAACATCAGGGCTTTTAACAATACTGCTGCACAATAATAGTGTATTGTTGTACCGTAAAACCACTTCCAAAAAATGCTGTGTATATTTATGCCAATGTACAAATATGTTAACACAATATTAACTAAAATATGATAGCACCATCATTCTGGGGACATGGAGAAACCCCTCTCAGTTTGTTAATTTCCTGGAGCGTATTTCCACAACAGGCTGTTTGTACATTGACGTATGGATATAGGATTATTTTTAAATAAAACACACTAGCCTAATGTTCAAGTTTGAATAAGCTTACCGCCTAACAGTGTATTTTAACCGTGTAACACTGACTCATCTTGACCTCACATTCCACCAATAAATAACACTTTCCACGGTTTAAACCAGACTGTAGTGGCTCTGAAATGCATACTGTTATCACTTTCACATCATGATTCCTGAACAAACAACTTTTCTTATTTAGCTTTTTTTCCTCCCCCAAAGTTAAAGACAGCTAAATAAACAGCAGCTTGATAAAATTTAAAACCATTATCGGTAATTGTGGAAATCCAACAATCAGCACTGCAACAAAAGCAAATGTCGCTGAACACAGAGCAACAATGTTCTCCAGAGTACACTCTTGTTCAGACTTCAGTCATCTGAAGTAAACGGATGCTGCACTGGTGTCAGACGGGGGGCGTTTTGCCCTACTTGATCTCTACAGCACCAGGATGTCTCCAGTGCAGCGCTCGCAGCAGTTAAAAGTAATGTTCTCATAGCGTGTGTACGGGTGAAACCTTCCAATGCTCTTCTTATTGCTGAGGAAGTTTGAAGAGGTTGAGTCATTGAGTGGAGGATCTGCCTTGTTTTCTGAGCAGGAAATTGGATCTAAAATCTTCAGCACCTAAGATAGAAAACAGAGAACCTCTTTGTAAACATCTGGATGTTATGACAAATATTAGAAAAGGTTCAGATTTGAAACCAGATAGACTTCGTACCTTCTCAGCCATCTTCTCCGCAGGTGTGCTGCAGAGGTGCTCAGCCGTTGCACTGCTGCTCTTTACCATGCCGCCGCCGCCGCCGGTGTTTCCCAGCAAGTGGGAGTTGATGGTGTCCGCTAGCTTGTGATTGGCGGCTGCAAGCTCTCCGGTGCTGAGGGGCTGTGCACTGGGGTAGTACGTCTGCTGTCTGCCCCACTGCAGAGACACCAGGAGCTGCTCCAGAGATCTGACGACAGAAAAGCAAGCACAGTCAGCACACAGACTCATCAACTATGCTAACAAAATACTGCACTTGAAGGGCCAATGCCTTTTGTTGAAATGAAAAACACTATATCCATGTACTGTCAAATAATATTGAACTAACAGAACAGAAATGACGTAGCATAAATGACTTTATCAAGCTCAACAAGCCTAAAAGAAACTAAGTGATAAAGAAACCAAAGGGATAATGAAGTGTTGGTCAAGTATTCCTTCTACAGAGCTATGCTAACAGCAGTCTGCTTGTTTTCTTTCATTTTAAATTAATTAAATATTATATGGGCTTATATACAACTAGTAGAGATACGTGTTGTATGCACTTTACACACATTTCAATTCCCTTCTTTTTAACAAATGCACTGGACAGTGAACATGGAGTAGAATATTTACTTTCTTAAAAAACATCAATAAGGATATTCCATAAGTGGAGCTATGACTATTGTTCATCTGGTGGTAGGATCAAAGGTTAGAAATGGGCGACATTAGCCCGCAGGCAGTCCCGGCACATTGAATTAACTGTCTGAGTGTCCTTTCTGTGTCTCACCTTCAGGATTTTCAAGTTGTGACCCATTGCAATGTACCATAGTCCTTACACATGAGTGGTGATGTTACCTGTGAGTGAGCACCATGTCCCTGGAGAACTCCTCTCTCTCCAGCAGCAGATCCTGAATGGCTCCTTGTGCTTCTCTGGTCTGTCTCTGCAGAGCTGCTCTGGCATTCGTCAGCTCCTCTGCCATGACTCTGAAGAGACGACACTGAAGTGTTAATCACTGTGATTGCAGTGTTTACCGGGGTTGTGTATTGCTAAGAATCTAATTAAATATGTTTATAACACTGAAAAATATCCCCATACAATATGTATGTTTACACCCCTAGTAATTATATCATCTCTTACTGATCATTGTAAAGACTAAACTACACTGAAATTTTTAAAAGATCAAGCTGATGGTGCCCTGAAATAAAACGTCCCATCTCTTTCCTCAACCTTTCATTTCCAACCATTTTTATTTGTCACACAATTGAATTGTGTATTTCATACCTGCTGGCCAGAAACTTGCTCCTCCAAACATCACACTGGATACTCATTCGCTCCAGCTGCTCCGCGGTGTGTGCCAGACTCCGGCCTAGTGCCTCATTCTCCAGAATCAGCTGGTTCTTCTCCCGCGACATACGCTCAAAGTGGTACTGAAGGTCATCCCCCACCGACGCCACCAGCAGTTTCTTCAGCTCACGGTTCACCTAGCAGAAGGAACGAATGAAAGTTACTTAAAAAAACACTCAAGGGCTGAAAATATAAACAAAATACAGTGGTTTTATTACTAAGTCCACTCAAAGGGACAATAAGAAGCACGATTACATTGTATTAACTGGTAAGACTTGAAATTGAACCGAGGAATAAACCTAACTGTGCAGAGCCTAGTATGTTAAACCTCTAAATAAAATGGATCTACTTCATTGGGGCCTTACCTCAGTCTGCACACGGAGCTGATTGGAGAGACCTTCCTTGTCCTGCAGCAGCCTGCGTTCAGAGTTCTGCAGCTTCTCCAGCTGTCCTCTCCAGTCCTCCCCCAGAGGCAGCGGGGGAGAGCCCTGCTCCTCAGCATGTTGCCCGGCCTCCCCTTTCCCCTCAACAGGTCCCACGCGGCTGCTCCGGCTAATAGCTGAACGTGGGACAAGAATCCTCACAGCCTCCACCTCTGTGCAGGCCTCTCGACTCACCTTGCCCAGGTGGAGCACCCCGGGGGGCTGGGGGGCGGCAGGGGGAGCAGCGTGGGTAGACTTGGGGCTGTGTTTTGGGCTCGCCACCTTCAAGAGGGTAACTGCAGACGAGCCTGGTGGCAGGGCATCTGTGTTTACCTCCAGGACGGCCGGCGGTTTTTTTGTTTCCATGCCATCACCAGCACCTCGGATAGGCACTTTGGCAGAAACTGGAAGAAATAATAAAACAAATGTACACTTTGCACCCATCCAATCAGAAGAGGACCACTCTAAATGCAGAAATGAGTGTGTAGTCAGGTATAGCCACCGTAAATCCTCTCTAGCAGCATGTAGGGCCGAGTACTGAACCTCAATAGACCAAAATGTGTCTGTTGTCAAATCCAGAAACATTACCCTTTTTATTATCAGATAAGTTAGTTCCTGATTTAACTCAAACATTTTCCAGGTATACACTGTATTGTATCCAGGCAACTGCTTGTACAGCTGTTTGTGTTAAGAAAACATTAAGCATGTAAGTAAGGTGTGGACCAAACTATGGTTTTGTTATTATCACAGAAACTCGGGTACTGAATTGGCACAAATACTAAAATAATCCACATTTAAATATGAAACTTGTCTATTAATAAACAGTAAAGGAAGACATAACAGAGTGCTGTGGGTACTGTATGTCTTAAATAAAACCATTCAGACAAGGCAGACTCTTACCTCGACTTTGTTGCAACTGGCTGAGCATGTAAGACATGTAAACAACACATAAAAAGGTAAACAAGTGTTTGTGAGTTTAACGAAACAATACATTACCTCTCACAGCAGCAGTCATGGTGGAGGTGGTGCTAGTCGAGAAGGAAGTCGGGTGAAACTCAGGTGACTCTTCGTCCTGTGACAACTAACAATGGGGACAGTACTGTGTTGTTAACAGCTGAGCTCACCGATAGCGTTAGCCGAGCAGCGTCGACGGAAAGTTTTTACAGTCAAAGTTACTGTAATGTTATCGCTGTCGGGGGCAGCTGTTAGCTACACGGAGAAAACACATATATATGATGGGATTCAGACTCAAAATTGTTCCATAGCGTTAACATACCGGTAACAATGGGCCGAGCCTCGCCGATTAACTCGCAGACACAAGCTGTTTATTTCTCCACCGGACACAGTTGGCCTCTGGTGCTGGAGGAAGGTGATTTTTTTGCCCAGATTTTAGCCTCTCAGGCACAACTTCCTGTCATGAAACCTTTTCAAACTAAAGCCACAGGGGGGGTTCACTGTTCGCTACTCCGCATAGATCAATACACCAACCCGTTATTGTCACCTTTATCCCGATTAATATGATATTAACTATAACATGCCCATTTTGTCGAACCGGCAGTGTTGTAAATGAAAGCCTGACAGGCTAATGCAGGGACATAAAAACCCACTGACTGATCTCTAATCGGTCGCCGTGTGCTGTTCTTATGAGCAGCAACTAAATGAATGAATGAAACTCGTTAAAGATTAGAAAATGAATGCTTAATTTCCACCTGAATATGTCGGTGTAACAATTTAGTATGACCCCCGCATGAATGACTCGGAACCTTCATGCGCAGTCAATAATAATTCTCCACGGACAAAAAATAGTGTTACAACAAAGGTTGAAAAGTGCCGCTGAGATGTTATTAGTATGGTGCACCGTAACGTTTCCACTGCAGCGGTGTCGGTGCTAACTTGTTGATTGTCTCTGACATAGTGCGGATGAGCTTTGGACCGCAGTCGCCATGGGAGTGCACGGACTGTGGAGGCTGCTGGAGAGTACAGGCAAACCCATCAACCCCGAGACTCTGGAGGGAAAGATCCTAGCTGTCGGTATCCTGACTGTGTGCTGATCAAAGTGTCTATCTTTCTCATCTCTCTGTCTATTTAAGATCTATTTAAGTAGGGTCTCATCACCTCTCCTTCATCTCTCCTTCATCTCTGCTTTATCTCTCTGTCTATTTAAGATCTATTTAAGTAGGGTCTCATCATCTCTCCTTCACCCCTCCTTCATCTCCCCTTCATCTCTCTGTCTGATGTTTTGATGTGTGCTCTGTTAAACCATTAAGCATGAACCTTAACCCCCCCCAGACATCAGTATATGGCTGAACCAGGCAGTGAAGGGGGTGAGGGACCGTGAAGGCAACAGTGTGCAGAATGCCCACCTCCTCACTCTCTTCCACCGCATCTGCAAGCTGCTCTTCTTCCGCATCAGGCCAGTCTTTGTGTTTGATGGGGACGCACCACTGCTGAAGAAACAGACCCTGGTGCGTCCAGTGCTTCCTGATCTACATAACCGGTCTGTGAGATTCCTGTCTGTTCTGTTGTTTAAACGTGGCTGTGGCTCTCCCGCAGGCTCTGAGGAGGCAGAGGAAAGAGGAGTTGAGCCGGGAGTCCAAACAGACTAATGAGAAACTCCTTAAGACGTTCCTGAAGAGGCAAGCTATCAAAGCTGCACTTGGAGACCGCAGGTAAAGGACGTGCACAGGAGGAAGGGTGCCAAAGAAAACACAACACAGACTTTCAAATCAGACTTTGATTGTGTAACACAATGTATGTTTGTATAAAACCACCCAACCGCACAACAATAAAACACTCAAAAGCAGAACTCGATTAAAAACACAAACTGTCTCTGCAGCCACATAACAGCCCAACAGTAGCTTTCTCCTGTGTTTTCCCATCTGTCTCCCTCTTCTGTCTGAACTATCCCTCCACAGTAAGGATCCTCTGCCCAGCCTCTCCAGTGTGAGGAGAGATGAGGTGGACGACATGTACGTCCTTCCAGCCCTGCCAGCTCCAGAGGAGAAAGACAGAAGCAGGTCAGGATAGAAGAGCTTCCCATATGTGTTCGGAGAGTCGGGGGCTTCTGACAGAACTCACAAATAACTAAACAGTGATTTTCTTCATTTTCTTTAATCAGCGACAGGTTAACATTAACTGTATGCGTGGTTTTATGTGGTTATTTCACCTATAATACTGGCGCTATTGTCATTGTTTCATTTTTGCAGTTCGGAAGAGGAGGAAGAGAAAGAGCAGGAGGAGATGGTTGACAGTTATCATATGTATCAGGTAAAATGATCACATGCACAAGACAACAACAAAAATGATTGCTGTGTTTTTGTGTTTGTTTTATTGCCCAGACTTTCTTTGTATGAATTCCCTGTTCGACGATTGACGTTTGAAGCCAGATTGCTCACTGTGTCTCAGGGAGAACTGTATGAAAACCCCAACTCAGTGGACATCAACTCAGAGGAGTTTGCGAGCTTGCCTCCTGAAATGAAACACGAGATACTCAAAGACATGAAAGAGTTTGCCAAGAGACGCCGGACCATGTACCACAAACCTCCAGAGGTACTGTTTTGCTCTCATTCACACTCACACACTCGCCCCTCGCTTCCTCTTCAACACAGACTCTTCTTCACTCCTTCTTAGTGCTCAGGAGACTTTTCCCAGTACCAGCTGGCCGGCCTTCTGCAGAGGAACCAGCTGAACCAGCGGCTGAAGGGTGTGGAGAAAGAGATGAGCCAGCAGAGTGCCGGCAGCGCTCCACAGCTCTATGAACAGGATGGGGAGGAGCAGAGCCACAGTGTAGAGTCACACCGGCTGGTTTCAGAAGACTATTCCCACTATATCCTTATTAAAGGTCAGTGCAGCTATGTCCATAAGTTCAGTTTTTCAGTATGGTGTAGGTTAAAGTGTACGATTTGTGGAAAGGTCCTTGTGTTTTACATTGGTAAAAGAGACTGACACCACTCCACTTTTCCTGACATAGGCTCCAAAAAGAGTGAGGCTGCCCCCGAGAGCCGACCTGCAGCTGCACCCTGGTCCGGGGGCTTTTTGTCAGGCAGCCAAAGACGAGCAGCGGGCCGGCCTGAGCCCCTGTGGCGTCCTGCCTGTGAGGAAGACGAGAAAGTGCCAGGTCCCTCTTCTGAAGACTCCAAACCCTCTGTCTCAGAACCGACTCAGGGAGACACGTCACCACCCTCGCCTCGTACGCTCGAGGCAATCCAGGCCGCCATGAACGACAGCTCGGACGAGGAGAAGGCGGTCCGGGATAAGAAGGGTGGTAGTGTGTCTCCACGTACCCTGATGGCAATCCAGCGAGCTCTCACTGAGGAGGAGAATGCTGCTGCCGAACATGGGGCTCCAATCAGCAGATTGCCCACCAAACCGCAGGCGAATATTCAGCCTCCTGCGCCACCACAAGTGGTCATCAGCAGCTCAGAGGAAGAGACAGAACCTGATGATGTGATCTCTTTACCTAATGATTTTAAGGGGAGCCCAACACGCCAAAGTGTACACGTAAAAGATGGTTTGCTTGTTACTAGTTCTGAAGATGAGATGGAGGAAGTGATTGGTCAGAGAAATAAGGCACTTCGGGTTGCAGCGCTGCAGAAACTTCACGAGAGAGAGACAAAGCCAGAGAAGGAGACGGGAAGCAGAGGACAGACAGAGAAACAAGAACACGTGGAGAGAAGAGAATCACAGGTTGCTTCTATTCCAAACCTCAATCTCTCTGCTCAGATATGTGGGAAATCTCTCAGTGCAGAGACTGACATTCGTCCTGTGTTGATAGAGCAGAGGATTAACAATTCCATTAAAGCTCTAGAGGAGAAGAATGGGGATGATGTGAAGTCAGAGCGCAGTGAGGAGAGTGAGTCAGAAGGTACAGTAATAGTCGGTAAAGATCACACTCACTCATAGTTTCTGAAATCAGTAGATATTAACAAAAGTGCTTTTTTGTGTTTTCCCAGAGAGCTTCATCGAGGTGTCAGAAGAAGAATTTAAAGAGGAGGATGCAGATGATTCACTTGTAATGATTAGAGAGGAAGGATCTCCAGATGAGGTCCATGAAGATGGGACCATGATGGAAGAAAAGGCGAGTTTTCCAGAGGCTCCCAGCGCCCCGGCTGCTGCTTTAAATTTAGAAGAAGAAGAGGACAAAAAGAGACAGACTGAAGAGAAAGAGCTGAAGGGGGGAACAGAGACCGAATCCAGTTCAACTCCAGCCACCAATGAATGGGAACACTTCGATGTGGTAAGTGTTGTGGATAGCAATGACATGTTTGAACTGGTCAGCTATCTTTTAGGCTGAGCTGTCCAGCAGTTTACTGTGTATGAGATAGGGCTGATGCAGTGTGTGTTTGTGTGTTTGT